CATTACATGTATTTTGTACTATAAAACCAACAGGAGGAAAAAAACAATAAACTGTTTTTTAATATTGTGTTGATTTTTATGTATCCTATAGTCATACTTCTGTGGTAGTAAAACCCTAGTCTGCTTTTCAAGCCAAAGAAAATAAGAAGTAGAAACACAGTAATTTCAGTGTTGTTTTTTTTCTTTAGGTGTACTGGTTAAAAATTAAAGAATCAGACTTTAAGGCCTGCTTTTTCTATACATTAAAAAGATTAGTGTTGGGTTTTAAACTTCTGTTTAAAAAAAGCTTTTCTGCCACTGACAAAGATCTGGTGCTTCTTCATGATGTTCATAAAGTCAACATAATTGCATGCATGGGATGGCTGTGGGATAGGCTGCAAACTGACAGAGATAACTGATGTCCACATCAATATGCTGTGAAGAGAAGCTAAAAAGTATCAGGAGACAAGAGTGTCAAGTACAACAGGGTTGTATTAGAACCACAACTAGAAAAAGAAGAATGGGAAAGAGGGGAATTAAAAATTGGATTTTGCTTTTCATCTAAATTTAAAACATGGGTTCAACAGGCAAACATATAGCAAGGAGATCACATATTCCCTCCATCTGATCTTGTGGAGTTCTTGAGAAAAGCAAACTTTACAGGTGGGGAAAAAAAAGACGTGTAAGGACAAGTAATGCTGGACCACAACAGATGTTTAGCCTGTGAATATGAGTGGGAGTCAGGCATGAGACAATGTTTTATAGACCGTTAGTTGCCAATGGGATTAGACAGAGGTTTCATGGATAGACATTTTGGGTCTACATACTGATATTTCTTCTAAGTTCCATTTAAGAAAGTAAATCCTTTTATACCTTATATCTTTTTAATTCAACATCTCCTCCTCCCTTTACGAAACTGCAATTACATTCTTATCTTCAGAGATTCATAACAACTAGCCTGTGTATCATTTGAAATACCAGTAAAACACTACGTATCATAAAAGTAGCATTCATGTGGAGCAGAGCATTCAGCTCTGTCTTTTTCATTCTTTCTTGTTCGTGAGGGCAGCGCTCATTTCCTCTGTCCTCAACAGCCATGTGGCTGGAGTAATTTTTTTAGCATAGCCTGGAAAATTAACAGAAGGCCTGGGAAAATCCATGAAGGAAATAGTGCTGTAGTCTATATGCTGAGTGGTAACCACAGCTGGCTAGAGCCACAACTGTGTGGGGAATTACACTGCTGGCTGGTCCAACACAACATAGAAGCAGGAGCAAATGCACTGCACAAGACTGAGGTGATAAAGAAAGGGAAGGTTTAGGCTCCTCTGTTCACATTGTTAAATTCACATTGGATTAAAGGACTCAATAAAGGTGATCACACTGCATAACCAAAGAGTTACAAGGACTGCAGAGCAATAAAAAAACAAAACAACACAACTCTAAAAAAAGTAACCCCAGCCATATTTGGCTATATTATGGTAACAGAAACTCTGTACAGCCAGAAGAGAACAACTTCATCTTGAGCAGTAAATGACAAAACATCTACTTTCAGCACAAGCTCCAGCACACTTCACTAGTAAATAAATAATATGGCTCAATCTTAAAGGTTTACGTGAGAGCTAGCTATTAATTAAAAAAGCTTGTTATAATAAAATAATACGATGCAGTATATCTTTGCCTAGGAACAAAAAAGAAACACAATACATAGCATCTTGTTCAAAGCTTATTCAAGTCAGTAGGAACTTTAGAGATCTCTCAAACAAAAAATAAAGTAGTTGCATAAGCCAGAAAACTGAATATGTTCTTGTAATATTGTTTTTAAAAACATTATCCTTAAACAAAACAGAAGTCCAAAAAGAAAGAAACCTTTAGAATGAAACATACTAAATTTAGTTGTTCACTCTAATCTCATGTGATCATTTCATGTTGCACAATCCATCTCCAGCAATGGCTCCAATGTATGGGGAAAACCACAAACAAGGCATGTCTTGAAGAACTGACACTTCTGCTACACACATGAAGCTCTCAGCATTTCACTGTGGAAATCCTGAGCCAAAATCCTATCTAGATCTCCCTGTTTAATATTTACCAGTGAAACTGTACTTAACAACAGCACTCTATCCTTTTTCTTCCCACTCACAACTAAGGCCCCCACAGCATGCCATGTTCTACTGCATGAGTTCTACAATTTCCTTCTCCACTGCGTGGAGGGGAGGGGAAACAACAAAAAAGCCAACAACAAAAAAAAACCACAAACAAACAATCAAACAAAAAAAGCAAAAGCAAAAAAAAATTTTAAAAAACCCCACAACCCACACTCCTTCATGTTAAACTTTTCTCTGTGACCATTTCCCCACCTTTTTTCCCTACCAAAGCTGAAGAAATTTCATCTTCCTTAGGTTTCTTCAAATGGCCACCATTCTGTACCTTTGACGACAGGTATGTCTACAGGTTCACCATGGGTGCACTGCAGTAGTCTTTTAAGTTTTCTATGTGTTCTAAATTCCTTTTTTTCACAATCCCACCAGCACAAAGATGATGGCTGCAGATTCACAATGACTCTCAAATCAAGCACTAAAACAGCCTGTTATGGCACATACACAGCTCACTCAGTTTCACTATTACCATAATTTTGCATTCATCAGCCCTGCCTTTCATCTGAATTTATTGCCTCAGTACCTATGGTGGGACCTCCTTCTCCTTATGTGAGAGGTCTACAGCATAATCTCCTGTGTCTGAGCTAGACATCTTAATTCCTTTTATACCCATGTCTGTCAGACGGCACTCAAAATAGGAGATGACTCACACCACTAAAATATGTACATCTCTCCAGTAACAGTGAATCTTAAGAATCAGTTCAGATACAAGTTTCACAATGTTATAAAAATGCCAGCTTTGTATTTTGGAATTCTATAATTTACAATTTACGGTGACCTCCAGTTTTGATAGTCCTGAATAATTATGTAACAATAACAAATCATCAGATCAAATTATCCATTCCTCCAGATGGTTTATGTATGCGTTGAATATACATTCCTGACAAATCCAGTGGTAACCTGTTCTAATAAAAAATAACCATTGACTCCTGCCCTCTGTTTTCTTTTTCAAGATTGCCAATATACTTGCCATCTTCTGTTCCTCAGGATGAATAAAGACTACAGTCAGCATTTCACAGTTCAACATGTCACATCTGACTTCTTTCAGACCACTTAAGTGAGGACCACTTGGTTTTAGTAATTTGTTCTTATTCATCTCAAATAAGAGTTTATTTTTAAAATAATTTATTTCTATAAATTCAAGCTAAAAGTTGTTTTACTGATACAGTTGAGACTGTTTTTCATTTATTCCATGTAAATAATGGCTCATGCAAAAGAATCACTCTTACCTCATTTATACAGGGTATTAATGCAAATAGTTCATTAGTTCCTCTGGCATGCACTTATCTTTCCTAAATGACCTAATTATACCTTGACCAAGTTTTTTCAACACCACATTCCTGCAGGCTTCTTTATTCCAATTCATTTAACTCCTAGTATTATGCTTTTAGCAAGCTCAAGATAATTACTTATAGTACTTCCCTCAAGGTAATTTTTCAATCTTTCTTATCAAAGCTTAATTCAAAGCCTGTTAGGCTCAAGCTCTTCCATTCTCCATACTTGGATAAGACAAGCACTTTTTCAATAATGGTTGGGTTCTGGATTTTATTTTTCTTTTAACCTCCATAAGCTCTGGTTCAACAAGGCCAGATGCAAGGTTATGCACCTGGGTCAGAACAATCCCAAACAAAAATACAGGCTTGGCAGAGAATAGATTGGGAACAGCTCTGAAGAAAAGGACTTGGGGGTGTTCGTTGATGAGAAGCTCAACATGAGTGAGCAGCCCAGACAGCCAACCATGTTCTGAGCTGCATCAAAAGAAGTGTGACCAGCAGGTCAAGGGAAGTGATTCTCCCTCTCTACTCTGGTGACACCCCACCTGGAGCACTGTGTCCAGCTCTGGAGTCCCCAACACAGGAAGGACATGGAGATCTCAGAACAAGTCCAGAGGAGGGTCATGGGTCACCTCCGTAGAGGTGTTCAAGGCCAGGTTGGATGGGGTTTGAGCAACCTGGTCTAGTGGAAGGTGCCCCTAGATAATCTTTAAGGTCCCTTCCAACCCAAACCATTTTATGATTCTGTGAATTTTAGCAAGAAAAAAATTAACCAAAACCCATGCTTCAGGATCTTGTCTGCCTTCTATATAAATGTAAAAACAAATTTTGTCTGTGATGTTACTAATTCCATGCTAAAAAGTTTTTTCAAAACCTGCTCAATATTGGAAAATATAAAAATACACAAAATACTGGAGCAGTCACCTAGTAAAATCTGAAGTATGCTAGAGAAACTGTACATCGTAGCTTGTCAAACATATCAAGCACAGAAAGTATCCCTTATCATTCAGTTTGGAGGACAGAAATTAATAATTCCATTTGCACTGCACTATGTGTGAACTGGCTGCGCTTTTAAGTGGAATCACTCATGGAACCATAACATAAATCTCTGTGGCCTGCAAGCATAAGTTACCTCATTATCCAGGACATCTTGATGGAATTCCAGGTAGTTTGCTTCAAATCTCATTTATTCTTGTAATCTCTAGATGGAAGAGCCATTCTAAACACTAAGAAAACACTTCTTTTATTTGTGACTGATGTGGGGAAAAGCTGCTTTGTTGGGCATAAGTAACCTAGTAATTTACAACACACTCTAAAAGTGTTCATCTCAAAAGCACTGAATTCTACAGACACAATAACCTTTATGAAGGAACTGAACACACCACATTTCCTACATGCATCAGGTTTCCATCCAAAGGTTACCACTTGCTAACATCTACCAGGACCATCTTACAACAGACTTGATTATTCCTGAAGACAATCAGAATTCTCAACCAAAAGCAACATACCAAGAGCACTGAGGCCTCACGACCTTCCTTATACTTCTAATAATAAAATGTTTTATTAAAAAGACATATACATAACACCTTACCTTTGATGCCATACGCATAAACAATGAGTTTTGATCCTCTGCTGTTCTCATCTTCTCATTTCTGACCAAATCATTCAGGTTCATACTATCATCATCCTGAAAATACCTGACTCTTTCTTTATCTATATGAGTAGTGATCTGGAAAGAAACATTGAAAATAAATATTAACCTAGTGAGAAAGATCAGTTATAAAATTCAGATCCTAATAACTTCAATAAGTTTAAAGAATAATGAATCAAGCTAAGCCCATGTGAAACAACTGGGCTTGCTGCTTCACTTAACATAAGGAAAAGAACACCTTCCCCTTTTTTCAATTGCATCAATAGCTCTAAATAGAAATCGCTATATCTTTTATATCTTTAAGCTATCAGAGCTAAATCTCAGGAAAGATTTACATTCATTCTCTGAAATAGTTAATTAGCTAACAAAAATGGAATACTGTAAAAGTAATCTTCATTATTTGCAGAAGCTTTTGAATCCTCAAGTCCCAGACACCACTGAAACACAAGCCATCACAGACACTACTGAAAGCTTTGATAAATGTGGCACTTCTGCTGGGAAATGTTGCCATCTTAGACAATGCACCAGAGAACAGAGTTTCTCCTTTAGGCCAGGACCAAACTAAATCCTGAAGGAGTATAGGGAATGGTCTTAATCATAAGGCAGAGATGGTATTTTCCAGAATGGAAACAACAGGAAGATGACAATCAATTCCTCACCCTCTTGTACCTTTCACTCCTCTACAGCAGTGTTACAAACCGAACAGTCCTACTAATAAAGAGCATACTTGCTAGAAACATGAGGTGTTGTCAGATCCTCTTATTCCAAGAAGGTTGAAATATTAGTTTATTTACTGTTGCAAGCAAATAACCTAAGAATAAGAAGCTGCTCCAGCTCCCAAGCTTCTCACTGTTGCCCAAAATGCTTTGTTACAAAGATTAGGTCATAATTTTTATTATCAGCAGTAGCAGTATTTTTCATCAGGAGAAAAAAAGGAAAATTAGCCCCTGGCCTGAGTAGTTCAGTAAAATCATTCTTACTTCAGAAATATTCACCTCTGTTAATCTTTATTATTTATGTAACTTTATGTAATATAAACTCCTCTGCTATGATTTGTGATAATTTGAAAAACTTTTTCTTGTATGTGCATTTAAATAAGCTCCAAAGTGATCCCCAGGGAAACATAGTCAAAACACTCATTTATGATAGCATCATAAAACTATTAAATAATTTCAGAATTACACTTGAGTACTGACATTCGATGCCTTGGATGAGAGGTCAGAGTGCACCCTCAGTAAGTCTGCATATGACACTAAGTTGGGTGGAAGTGTTGATCTGCCTGAGGGCAGGGAGGCTCAGTAGAGGGATCCGGACAGGCTGGATCGATGGGCCAAGGCCAATTGCATGAGTTTTAATAAGGCCAAATGTTGAGTCCTACACTTTGGCCACAACCCTTAGCAACACTATAGGCTTGGGGAGGAATGGCTGGAGAGCTGTCCAGCAGAGAGGACCTGAGGGTGTTGACTGATAGCTGGCTGAACATGAGCCAGCAGCGTGCCCTGCTGGCCAAGAAAGCCAACACCGTCCTGGCCTGCATCAGGAATAGTGTGACGAGCAGGACCAGGGAGATGATCCTGCCCCTCTACTTGGCCTTGGTGAGGCTGCACCTCAAGCACTGAGTGCAGTTTTGGGCACTGCAGAATAGGAAGGACATTGAGGTTCTGGAAAGGGTGCAGAGAAGAGCAACTAGGCTGATTAGGGGTTTGGAGGACAGGTCTTATGAGGAGAGGCTGAGGGAGCTGGGGCTGTTCAGCCTGGAGAAGAGGAGGCTGAGGGGAGACCTCATTGCTCTCTACAACTACCTGAAAGGAGGTTGTAGTGAGGTGGGTGTTGGCCTCTTCTCCCTAGTGACCAACGATAGGACAAGAGGAAATGGGGTCAAGTTGCATCAAGAGAGGTTCAGAGTGTGTATTATGAAACATTTCTTCATGGAAGGAGTGGTGAGGCATTGGAACAGGCTGCCCAGGGAGGTGGTGGAGGCACTATCCCTGGAGGTGTTAAAAAAATGGGTAGACATAGTGTTTCAGGAGCTGGTTTAGTGGTTAGGGGTTGTAGGGTGGATTGTTTGACTTCATGATCTCGAAGGTCTTTTCCAACTTTGATGGTCTATGAGTCTACTCTATGATTTGTAAAACTTACCATCTGCCGCTTTCTCCGTCCTCCTTTTGGCTCCAGTGGTTCTGCTGGTGCAGTAACAGGCCATGCTCTGCCACTTCGATCTGTTCTGACAAGGACCACTTGTTCATCTTCTTGAAGGCTTGAAGCCTGTATCAGGTTTTAAGATATATTTTTTTAAAAGATGGTACAGGCAAAACTAAAAAGAAAACCTAGTCCAAACTAAATTAATGTTTAAAATCCTAAAGGGCAAATAACCATTATTTACATTTTGCATTCTCATTATAACGCAGGACAGCTGTGAACACATTAAAAGCTGGATACTAGAAAGAAAGAAGTTCACAGAGTGGTCCTTACCACTAGACATGGATATTTACATGGATAGAAGGTTAATATGAAAACTACTAATAATGTTGATTTTTCTTTATCAGAACCCAAGAAGCAAGCTGCCAACTGTTTTCCTGCACTTCAATCTGACAGCCAGTGACAGGTGAACACAGAGTAAATTCACTATCCTGATTAGAACACAGAAGACCTCGCAGTTTCCTTGTACAACAGGAACATTTTGCCAGATAGTGTAAATCCTTATTATATTGGGCATCTTCAGAACTATAAGACAAGAAGCAAACACCTGCCTCATGCAATTAGCTACATGGGACATCATCTTAGTTTGGACAAAAAAACTGTAATCTCAAAACTCCTAGTCTACCCTTCAGCACTTAAAACCTTATGGACACCTAAGTTTTTATCAGTGATGTTCTGGAGTTGTATCAAGCTATGCTTACAAGCATGCCCAAAACTGCTCCAATTTTGCCAGACATGTATGGCTTAACATCAAATCCATATCAAAACACAATCTGAATGTCTGGAATAAGCACACTTATCCCTAAGTTTTATCCATGGTTGACTTACTTCAACTGATCATTAATACTTGAATACATAAAAAAGGGCTGTGACAACAGATTTCGATCAGAAAAATACACCCTTTTGTAAAAATCACAGAATCATAGAGACTCCTTTCACTTCAATGCAGCTCATGAAGATTACAAATCTATCTCCTATAACTTCGCTACCCACAGAGCAGAGAGAGGAGGAGGAGGAGTCCTGGAAAACCTAAACAGCAGGAGGGAAAATGACACATGGGGGACTCAGTAAGCCAGACAGAATTTATCAGCATGTATGAAAACAGAGCATTGTCACAGAATCATGTAATATAGAGTGGTTTGAGTTGGAAGGTACCTTAAAGATCATCTACTCCCCTTCTGACCTGCATAGGCAGGGCCGCCTTCCACTTGACCAGGTTGCTCAGGCCTCCATCAAACCTGGCCTTGAACACTTCCAGGGATGGGGCTTCCACAAGTTCCCTGGGCAACCTGATCCAGTGTCTCACCACCCTCACAGTAAAAAATTTCCTCTTCATGCCCAACATAAATCTCTCCGCTTCAAGTTTTGATCTATTACCTCTTGTTCTCTCACTACAAGCCGCTGTAAAAAGTCCCTCCCCAGCTTTCTTGTTACACTATCACTAGCTCAGTGATGAAGGCACTCCCGTGGATACCAGTCCTTGAGAAAAAAATACCATGCAAGCAAATCAATATATCCATTTCCCAAATGACTATTTAAATAATTCAATATGCCTCAGCTACTACAATTTCCATTTCCAGGTGCTTACAGCTGTGGCTTACGCTATTGTTGCCAATTGACTACAAGTAAAGTACGGGGGTGCTGAGTGCTGTGCCATATCATTCCTTTTATGTGTCCAGCCCTCAGACTTCCCATGCCTTCATCTGCTACCACCAACTTCCTTCTCACTTGGAATTGAAGTTAATTGACGTTAGTACATTTTCAGCTGACAGACATCCATTCGGGTGATGCATGTCCTGTCAAGAGTCAGGTCAGCTCAGATCACTCTGAAACAGGAACAACAGCACATTCCTATTTCATAGGGGTGATCTCAGATTTGATATATGTATTTGTGTGTGTGTGTATACACACAAATACACACACACGCATAATAATAAACAAGAAAAATATTAAATTCTTCAGCAGAAAAATAAGTATTTAACTTTCTGAAGAGATTAAGAACTTCTTACAAAAAAATAAGAAGCCTGAGAGCTTCCTGATTACACTACTTATATTTAGGTAAGTTGATTGATTAAATTAGAGCAAATAATGGAGGCATCACTAAATCTGGTGAAATGAGGACAGCCTTTGTCAAAACTTATAAACAACTTTATTAATCTCAATTTGAAGCTGTTTTCCACCAAACAATTTATGTCTGCTTTACATCTGCCATCCTTGCCTAATGAAAGCTTGTCCCAGAAATCCAAATAAAATTTGAAAAATCTGTAGATACCTAAGTATGGTGCTTTAATGGCTTAATTATATGTTTCCAAGAAAAGTCAAACACAGTAGAAGTTAAGGACCAAAAAGCTGTCTAGGAAGTCAAACTTATCTCTTTCACATCACCAAAGGCAAATCTCATTTTGAAAACCATACCTGCCTCAACTGTTATTTTTCCACAAGATAAGGATTTTCTCTCTATTGAGAGAAGAAGAGGTGATTCGTAAGGCTCAGTACTGTGATAGAGAGCAGAATAATTTGAACAGTTGAAGAAGCTGGGGTAGAGAAAACCAAAGAAAAAGCCAAGATTCAATAAACAGAATTAGAAGGGAAAAAATGTTTTCTAAGGAGCACTTTACGTGACAATGTGAAACTCACCTATCTATCATAAGCACAAAACTTTGTTTGAAATGATGGAAAAGAGAAATACACTCAGAGGCTAAACATTTTAGACTTAACACAAGATAATCACATAGAAGAAAATCATAAAAAGAGAAGTATGAAAAGGTAGAAAGGAAATGGAATAATTTTTAACATTTATACAGAGAAGATAAGGAAATCAAAGTTAACACCAACATAATATATCAGAAGAAACATGATAAATGCCCTCACTCTCTTTATAACTTGGATAACTCTGCAAGTTTGGAAACTGAAGACATAACCACAGATGTTGCAGTAGCAGCTCAAAAACCAAGAGTGTTGCTAATTTTTCTGAAATTAACTAGACCATTGTAGAAGAAAAAAGCCACCTTGTCCCAAACCTACCAAACCCACATGGCCAAGCAGGGATGTGGCAGCTTGGCAGCTCTCCCCAGAGGTCACATTGAATCAACATGCAGAAGCAGGGGCAGCAGGTAACAGGAGTTGGTTGAGTGGAAGGTTGGACCTGAATGGGGTCCTCACGTGAACAGGACCCTTCAGAAATGGTTACGTGTTTATTACGTTACGTGATTATTCACCGAGAACTGTGGAGGGGCTTGGGCCTTAAACAGGTGGTCCTATGGAGTATCTAAAAAGCTGCTGATTTTAGGTGAACCACGTCCCTTCTTCCCCACATCTTTATGTTGCTGAGACAAAAAAAAAGAAATGCAAATTTTCCACAGGAAATGGCTGCATCTTTTCCATTCCCAGTCTCTAAAATTTCACCTCATTTTACACAGTACTTTGCAAAAAGAGAAATCCCTAAACACAACAGAAATTACAACAGCAATGCTGTTTTGCTCAGCAACTACACAGAATAGTAAACATCAGATTCTCATGTCAACTTACATGAATGAAATTCCTTTTTAAACCTCCATTCCCAGCTTTAAGTGTCTTCACTAAAATGTTTAAAATACAGATATTTCAAAAAGGATGCCAGTATTGAGCAGCCTATTATTTTCCCAAAACGAACAGAATTCACAAGGTGTTCTACATCTCAGAAAAACAGACTTGATGTGCCTTTGAACACAGGTTCCAAAATGTCAGATCCTAAAAAGAGCTGTGCTTTAGTTTGTTTCCTTATTTCTGCATGCCAACACACTAACATACAGGCAGTAAAAGAGCATCATCTAGATCTGAACCATGTAATGAGCTGGGGCAAGGGTGGAAAAATCAGTAAAACAGAGATGCCTCTGCGCCAACTCAAATATTTCTCCATTGTCTTAATGCATCTAATAATCAAAATCTTCACTAAGTTTCCATCCCTAGGAGGGCCAACTTTTTCCTTTCAAATATTACACTCCCCTACACTGCTACCAAACTTAAAGCATCTGGCTTTGGGTTTTTTTGCAAATGTCTTTTATAGACTGAGAAAAGAAAAATTACCAAATCTGCCCATAAATTATTATTAACTTCCATGATTTTGGACATGCTCCTGGAATGTTTTTCAGGAAAAGTATCATGTTTGATACAAACATTAATGGTTTACTTACATGTTTAGTATCATCTACATAAATATGCACTAGTTCCCTTCACACCTTTTTACTCTTTAAAAGTGCTCTAGTTCAAAAAAACACTGGTAGGTTGCAGAAACTCAAAAGGTTTCAGCAAACAGAATATAAAATGAATAAGAAGAAAACAATTGGGAGATTTAGGAGGAGTTTAAATTGCACAAGAAACACAAGTTAGAAAGGTTCTTCTAATACTAAGGACTAGAAAAACAGAGCAGTTGCCTATGAAGAATATGGATTCATCATCATGTTTTCTTTCTTTTTTTTTTGTTAAACCAGATGAGTTAGAAAACTACTAAGAACCATAGATGTGTACAATGAAACCAGAGAGGAAGACAATAAGGCATTAGTAAGTTATTTCACTGGACTCTCACACAACATGAAAGGATAAACATTTAGATACAACACATACTGAATGCTTTGAACCTGCCCTACAGCTGGCAGTTTTTTGTGAGTTTTGTGAGTCCACAGTCCTGACACAAAGCATTTGAGACTGACCACAATGAGAGAAAAGGAAAAAAACACAACTTCTCAGAGAAAAGAAAAAAAAAATTATAGTAATATTTAGCTTTAGAAGAAAGTACAAAAAAGAAGTAGCCCATCAAAGAGAAATTAAAAGGAACAGATAAAAGGATAAAATAATTATGGACAGCATGAAGACTAATGTGTAGTCATGTTAGAGACTAAAAATAAATGTATACTAGAAACCAGTATTAATTCAATGGATTAAATATGCCAGGCACGATTATTAAGAAGATAAAATATGTTATTATAGCTAAAGACATCTTTCAGGAGTCAAAATCTTGTATAAATAGAACTGAATGAAAAAAACAGCATAAATATAGAAAGGTAATTGTATAAACATAACAAAGCAAG